ATCTCACTGCATTATTACAATTAATGGCCAAATGAATGTTTGGAAATGTAAACGGATATTTCCCACTAACACACTACAGCAAAAGATAGAAATAACTGACTTAAAACCATTTTTTAGCTGCTGAGAATACTAGCGTTCTAATCATTTTGGCCACCACTGTACTTCTTTGTGATTAAATATGACCTGGACATGCTCTTTGTCAGGTTTTGTAATATGAACCCAAATATGAAATAACCAAATATCAGATGAATATCAGGGTTTCTGTGGGTCTTACACAAATTAAGGCTTTAAAAGTTATTAAATTGGAGTGGAAAGTCTTACATTTATAGTCATGGCATTAAATGTTAATTCATATCTACCTCTGTATTTTTGTCTTGTTTTCCAACACAAATATCTAAACATCTTTAGATGTTTACATTATATTTACTGGAGATTCACAATGAAGATATGAAGTCCTGTTTTCTGAGAAATTGAACATAATGAAGTGAGTTTATGCTTAAAACAAGAACAAGTAGCCTATCTATCAATGTGGAATGAAAATTTGGTAACACCTAAGATTAGGGAACACTATTCACTATTAACTAGTTTTTATTAGCATGCATAGTATATTGGCTGTTAGTATTTATAAAGCACATATTAATGCATGGCCATATTCTAGATCGCTTAACACTTCCCATACCTAAACATAACTACTAGTAGAACTGCGTTGCTTGCTATCCATAAGCAGCAAATTAGGAGTTTATTGAGGGAAAACTCTGACTTCATAGTGACGATGTGTTCCCTAATCTATAGTGTTAACCAAGACCTGTTTCCCCTTTGAATTAAGGTGATTTTTCTGATTCGTTCTTGTTTTAATCATAAACTCACTTTACTTTGATCAGAATGTTTTTTAATTTGAGAAACTTTGGAAACAGACAAAACACAGAGGAAAAGCATCCCTTTTCTGCAGTGCGATCATCTATATACAATGAATAAACTCCTAATATTTTGTTTATTACGTTAACTCTTTTGAAGAGATGTTTAACAGAGTTAAGCCAAATACAGTTTTGGAGTTTTTAGCAAAAATCAATTATA